AAAGTATCCTCAGGCAACATAGCGAACCCCCGAGATGCTGCCGTCTAAGAGAGCACGTAGAGCACAGGTGTCGAACTCCAGGCCTCGAGGGCCGGTGTCCTGCAGGTTTTAGATGTGTCCTTGATCCAACGCAGCTGATTTAAATGGCTAAATGACCTCCTCAACATGTCTCAAAGTTCTCCAGAGGCCTGATAATGAACTAATCATTTGATTCAGGTGTGTTGACCCAGGGTGAGATCTAAAACCTGCAGGACACCGGCCCTCGGGGCCTGGAGTTCGACACCTGTGACGTAGAGGCAGAAAGTAAATGCTTGTGTAAATGTGTGCGCTGTGAGTGCTGACATAGAGTAAATAATAATTAAGACAACAGATTTTAATGGAAATCTGTGGGTGGCATCTGGAAGTAGCAGGGCTTCTTCCTAGACTTTTGTCCTGATCATCCCCAATCTGTAAGTTTTCCGCACTCACCACATTCGACCTCGTGTCTGCAGCAGTAAGGGGGTCTCCTGTTCTTTAACCAGTTAAAGGGTTTTTGTAAATATCACAGATTTTAAATGGGAAAAAATGGCTGTAGCCTCTGTGACACCATCCTTTGTTTCTGGACACCACAGTTTGATTGGTAATTTATTTCAAACATGTAAACAATATAGCTCCCGTTCTGATTAATTTACATGTTGAAAGGGGTTTAAAACTGTGTTTGTGGTTCGGCTCCATCATGTTAATTTTTTTATTAGAAATATGTTTGGACAAGAGGCTGTCGGCTAATAGCAAGCTGTATCTATAAGATGTACAGGCGACATGCACAGATGTGCTACTTAGTGCTACGATTTCACTCGCTAAAACTGGAGCACAGACTTCTTAAACAGGCCGTATCACACAGGCAGGCATAAACCTTATTATATGTCAGGTAATTCTGTGAACACATCCTGCTGAGGCTTCAAATCAGCACTAACAGCTGATTAGTGCTAACAGGAGCAGGTCAGAGGAGATATACTCGCTTGTGTGTTTTTGTGCCTAACAAACAGTGCAGTCTGTCTCCACTTCTGTCCCTGCATTCAGCTGTAAGCACCTTCATTTGAAAATCCCATCTTCTCGTCTATAGCAGTGTTTAGAGGTAAACACACCTACTCTACATCGTTCTAAATATTAATATATAATATTAATGTAAGTAATGAAATTTGAAATAAGGGGGTAGGAACAGAAAAAGTGTAAACTTCATCCTACTCCTTTTTGAGCATAGACATTGTGTAGACAGAGATATTCATGAAAACGTGTTTTTAAGTTTTTTTCTTATTTTTTTCTTGTTATTTCAGTTATATTTGCATGTTCGAAATAAAATTCTATCTAACCGTCTAAGTAACAGAAAAACTGTTAGCCATGGATGGATGGATAGAACAAACTATCCATCTAAGAAGACGTTGGCAGTGTTTGGTGAACCAGACAAACTTTTAGTTTTAGATTTGTGTTGAGTCTTGACCTCAACAAAAGACGGCGATAAACATCAAAACAGGGAGAGAGAATTTCTGCAGACTGAACTGTCTTCGGAGCCTCCTGTTTCTATCCTCCCAAACATTTGGTTCAGACCTCCAGGTGTCATGTGAGAGCTTCACATCGTTACCCTAAACTTTGGACTTTTTTCTGTGAGGTTTCTTTGTACTAGTACTCCCTGATTGTGCTCCCCTGCTGAGCTGCAATGGATGTGCTAAAATAGCCTAAAGATACAGAAACCTTGGAACATTCCCACCTCAACTGCCTGAACTGCTAACGGCTTAACATGTCTTCCTAGTTTTAATGTACAATGAGGACTGACAATTTTTGAAATTCACAAAAATGTAACCAACGCCTCAATCTGTGTAACAGGAAGTTGTAAACCAGTATGACAAGATGCTGTACTAGAATCTGTCAGCTTACTCTCAGCCTTCATGCATCTGTTCAGCAACGTGTGACCAGAATCTGCATTAACAAATACGAGGAAAGAAGGAAACTGGTGCAAGTTTAGCTAACATAAGCCGGATTCTGTAAACTCGACCAACATCGTCTTTGCGTGATTATATCACCACATGTAGTTGCACACAGCAGTGTTTAAAACCGTGTTTGATTACTGACGACTGTGACTGTGAAGTTGGGACTCTGTGTAAAACATAAATAAAAGCAATGCTTTGAAAAATCTCATAAACCCATATTCTATTCACAATAAAACATATATGCTTATACTCAGACATTTCACTATTACATTAAATATATTAGTTCATTTTGACTTTAATGGCAGCACCATGTTGCAAAAAAGTTGGAAAAGAGGCTGGAAAAGTAAAGTGGTACCAAAAACGAACAGCTGAAAGAACATCGTGAACTAACTAAAGAGTTACGTCCAGCTCGTCATCAGCACTCAGTTCAAAAGCCTGAAACTCTGACGGTATGGTGGTTGCACATGTGGAAAGGCACCACCAGTGCTGAACGGTACATACAGGTTGTGCCCGTGCAGACAGCATCTGTCACAGGAGAGGCTTTGCACATTTCAACAAGACAATGCTAAATCATATACTGGAGCTAATCCAACAGCACAGCTTCATGGCTCGCTGCAGTCCAGACCTTTCACAAACAGAAACACCATTAAGTGAAATTTATGACAAATAAGACCACGGACAGCTGAGCAGCTGGATTCCTCTCAGATAACAGTGGAATATTATTCCCCTCCCAAAAGTCCAGCAAATCGTTGCATTCATTTATTCACTTTTTACAGCGTTCCAACTTTTAAGGAAGGGGTTAGTATTTCCTCTGTTTATCGGACGAGTCGGGAACAATGTGGTCCCACCTTTATGCTTTACAATCCCTCAGAAACAAGTAAAAACCTGCTTTATTTGGACAATATAAGCAAACCCATCTCGTCTTATTCCAGCTTTTGCAAAACTGATTGGTGTCGCAGCAAAAAGTGTGCACAGCTCACCATCTTGACATGATGATACTGAGCACAAATCTCACAGCTTATCCACCCTAATCTGTCTCTTTCCTCTGAACATCAGTCCTCCTCTTCTCTCTCACTCTTATATCAATGCAAGGGGTTAAAACGCTACAGCAGCACCGAGGATCACTGAAATAAAATAAATCAAAGCACAAACTCCAGCGTCTGTGAGCCTTTTAGACAAAGAAGAACTGACTCTTTCTCCTTTCCTATGAACTACTCATTTCACAGTCTGATACAAAGATCTATAAAGCCCTTTTGCAAAATACAATACAAGCACTACGAACATGTTTTCTTGCATTTCAGCAATGCATCTGTTAATTCAAATGTACATTATTTGATACTGATTTTGTGTTGAAACACAGCT